AATGCGACAGTTGAGCGCTGTGGTAAAGACATTGTCGGTTGCGCGCAGCGGTAAATCTTTCGACGGTGGAGTGCCGCTAAACACGTGTCGACGAAGGTGCGGCGCGGTAAACTTTTCGACGGCGGCGGAGCATTGAACGCTCTGACGCCGAAGTGCCGCAGCGCATGCGTTGACAGTCGCGTGCCGCAGTGAGCCGTTCGTGCCGAGCTGGAGTATTGTACTTCTTGTTCGGTTGCGACGTCAGCCTGGCGCGCTAAGATGCAGCAGCAAATCCTGCACACGCGCTGTTTCCAGGTAGAAACTGTTGTGTGTGTGTGCTCGTTGCAGGTCGGCGTCTCGTTGTGCACCCGCACTTCACACTTCCTGTGTTTCCACGCATCCCGAGGTTGTTGGTCGACGCATTTGGGTATATAACGGCATTTGATCGAGTTCGGAGGTGGTTGCTGCATTTTTCACGGCCTAGCCATCCTGAAGGAAGCGCACGTTGTCCTATTGGTTTCGACGAGTTTGCGTGTGAGGTTACGTTTGTTGTCGTTCACGTTTTCTTGAATGCGCTCGGGTGGCACACACGTGTGATTGATCACTTGTGCACTTGCACGCGTCGCCAAGATTGTGGCGGCATGCGATTTGCTGCACGTGTGGCCACGTGTGAAATTGTGCGCGCTCACAAATTGTACCTGCGCGCGCATGCTTGGTACGCTCGCACGGCTGTGCCTGCGATGTGCACGCGCACCGAGCCCAAGTTGCACGGGTCACGCTTGTCAAGCCAGCGCCAGGCGGCGGGGGGCGAAAACCACAAATGGTGCACAGTTTCTTTTCATGAGCTTCCCCCTTTCGGCTCCTCCCTCAGGCTATGTTTCTCATCATCATCATCATCATCATCATCATCATCATCATCATCATCATCACCATCACCATCACCATCACCATCACCATCGTCATCATCATCAGCACCATCATCACCATCATCATCAGCATCATCACCATCTTCATCATCAGCATCATCATCAGCAGCGGCAGCATCATCATCCCCTCTTCTTTTCCTCTCTTCCCAATTACTTCTAGCGCTCCTCCGTCCTCATTGTCCTCCTCCTCCTTCTCCCTCTCATCCTTCTCCCACCCACCCATCCTTGTCCTCGTCCCAGTTCTACCGCTCTGCCTCATCCTCCCCCCTTCGTTTTCCTCCCCATCATCCCTCTCTCCTCTTCCTGTCTATCTTTACTCCCATCCTCCTCCTCCTCCTCCTCCTCCTCCTCCTCCTCCTCCTCCTCCTCCTTCTCTTCCTCCTCCTCTTCCTCTCTCTGGAGCCCCCCAGAAGCTTTTCAATAAACATCCAAAAGCTGTGAAGGCCGTTCTACACAGATGCGCGACCTGTCCAGAGAGCTCCAAGAAGCTTCCTTCTTTCCCCCCCGCCTCCTCACCCTCCCCCTCTCCCTGGGACCCTCCCAAGATTCCCCAGAAACGCTCTTGAACCTCCCTCCCCCTGCTTCCTCCACGAGGGGAGCTATCCATGATCTGCCGACTCGGGAACCTAGGACGCCGCGGAGCGTTGGATATCTTGGCATCGCTCGGACGTGTGTCTTTTTGTCTGGCGAGGCCAGCGCCAGAAAGTCTGGACCATCACGGAGCATCTAGGATTATGATATATATATATATATATATATATATATATGTATTCGCTGTTTTAAACTAAAAAGAAAAGAAATTACCCTGGCGACGTACCCAACCCCTGCGCAAAAGCGGGGCGCAAATAGTTTAGGATACGTTATAAGGGGGCGATGACGGAGCGAGGGTTGCATATGTCTGCAGCCGGAATTCGGGAGACTCGCAGGACACTGGCTACAGGAAAAGGGCTTGATAAAACTGATGAGTTACAATTCCTGGGCACTCCTAGCCACTTCGAAAATGGTGATCACAGCAGGCCTCGAAAGTGGCGACAGTTTCACAGATCGCAGCCCCGCAGGGATGGCGAGGTCTAATTTGGGTCCGCGCGTGGCGTCACTGTGCTGGGCCCCCCAGCAGGCCTCGAAAGTGGCGACAGTTTCGCAGATCGCAGCCCCCCAGGGATGGCGAGGTCTAATTTGAATCTGCGCGTGGCCCTCACTGTGCTGGGCCCCCCAGCAGGCCTCGAAAATGGCGACAGTTTCGCAGATCGCAGCCCCCCAGGGATGGCGAGGTCTAATTTGAATCCGCGCGTGGCCCTCACTGTGCTGGGCCCCCCAGCAGGCCTCGAAAATGGCGACAGTTTCGCAGATCGCAGCCCCCCAGGGATGGCGAGGTCTAATTTGAATCCGCGCGTGGCCCTCACTGTGCTGGGCCCCCCAGCAGGCCTCGAAAATGGCGACAGTTTCGCAGATCGCAGCCCCCCAGGGATGGCGAGGTCTAATTTGAATCCGCGCGTGGCCCTCACTGTGCTGGGCCCCCCAGCAGGCCTCGAAAATGGCGACAGTTTCGCAGATCGCAGCCCCCCAGGGATGGCGAGGTCTAATTTGAATCCGCGCGTGGCCCTCACTGTGCTGGGCCCCCCAGCAGGCCTCGAAAATGGCGACAGTTTCGCAGATCGCAGCCCCCCAGGGACGGCGAGGTCTAATTTGAATCCGCGTGGCCCTCACTGTGCTGGGCCCCCCAGCAGGCCTCGAAAATGGCGACAGTTTCGCAGATCGCAGCCCCCCAGGGATGGCGAGGTCTAATTTGGGTCCGCCCGTGGCCCTCACTGTGCTGGGCCCCCCAGTCGAAAATGGCGACAGTTTCGCAGATCGCAGCCCCCCAGGGACGGCGAGGTCTAATTTGGGTCCGCCCGTGGCCCTCACTGTGCTGGGCCCCCCAGCAGGCCTCGAAAATGGCGACAGTTTCGCAGATCGCAGCCCCCCAGGGATGGCGAGGTCTAATTTGAATCCGCGCGTGGCCCTCACTGTGCTGGGCCCCCCAGCAGGCCTCGAAAATGGCGACAGTTTCACAGATCGCAGCCCCCCAGGGATGGCGAGGTCTAATTTGAATCCGCCGTGGCCCTCACTGTGCTGGGCCCCCCAGCAGGCCTCGAAATGGCGACAGTTTCGCAGATCGCAGCCCCCCAGGGATGGCGAGGTCTAATTTGGGTCCGCCCGTGGCCCTCACTGTGCTGGGCCCCCCAGCAGGCCTCGAAAGTGGCGACAGTTTCACAGATCGCAGCCCCCCGCAGGCAAGACAGGAAGAGGCGGGAGGCGGGAGGCGGGAGGAGGAAGGACGCGACCACACTGCTCTATTCAAAACGAATACCCAACCAAGGATGGTTGGGAACAAAAAAAAAAAAAAAATGCATGGGACACCTTTGATCAGGCGTCTGAGGTTGCGGCGAGCGGTCGGTCGTCCAGCCACCGCCCGCGCTCGTCCATCTCGATGGTGTGCGTCCCCAGCTCGTCGATGAAGCCGTTGGGGTCTGTGCGACCGAGCTTGCGGAAGGCGACCCAGGCGTCCGAGCGATGGCAGGACGTGGACACCTCCCCACCCGGGGAGGGCGGAACGTACATGTACTGACATCCGGCGCTCCGCGGCGGGGTCCTCAGGGTGTGCGTCTCCGCGTCGGCACATCGACCCCCAGCGTGGACTTCCTCCCTCCCCCTCGCTACCTCCTCCCCCCTCCTGCTCCCTCCCCCTCCCTCCTCCCCCCTGGCGGCGGCGCGCCTGCTTGCGCCGCAGCACAACCTCAAGGACCTCGAGGACCTGAATGCCCAGGGGAACTGGGCGAAGCACGCCCCGCCGCCTGCTGCTACCTTTCCTTTGCGGGCGGCACCGCCAGGCGCGTTCAAGGCGTCGGTCTTCGAGGAGTTTTGGGTCGGGCTGCACGCGCCGCTCGTCGGGGCGGAGGTGCAGGCGCCTACCGACCAGGCGGCTCCTGGTCGTTCCACACCTGGTTTGGTCGGGCCGCAGGAACTTCGTCCTTCTCTCATCGATCCTCTTCCTGGTGACGTGGTGCCCTCGGTGCTCTGGCATGGTGTCGGGGAGCCGCTGGAGGCGCCCGCCATGGACGATGTCGCAAAGGTTTCGCCTCCAGTCGCCATGTGTGGCGCCAGCATGGGGGAGAGCAGCTGCGGCGGTGAGGCATCGCCCGGCGCAGTCTTGTCCGTTGGTGGTGGCGCTGCCGGAGGCGATCACCAGTTTCCCATGGATGGGGTCCCTCCCCTCGCCATGGATGGCTCTGAGGAGGGGAGCATTGTTTTTTCTTCGTTCCCGACGGGGAGGACGGTGCAGGAGTCAGCTCTTCCACCACATGACGTTCAACACGTTGCCGACGAGATGGACGATGTGGTCCTCGCCCGTGCTTCGCGGCTCGGGCCGCATCCTCGAGTCGTTCATGCTTCGGGATGCTGCTCGCGCAGGGGATGTTTCTCTGGCGGAGGCGCTTCACGCTCTTGAGGCGTCTGGTGGACTCGTGCATCGCGCTCTTCGTTGTCTCTCTCTCTCTCTCTCTCTCTCTCTCTTCGGCGGTTGAATTGTTGCATTTCGGCTTCATTGCTCTCGTCCTGCACGCGCTTTTCTTCCTCCTCTCCCAAAAGAACTCCCTCCTCCTCATATCCCTCCCCTCCTCCCTCCCCCTCCCTCCCTCCCTGCCTTCTTCCCCTCTCCTCCTCCCCCCTCCCTCCTCCCTCCTCCTCCCCATATCCCTGCTCCTCCCTCCTCCTTCCCCTCTCCCGCCTCCTCCTCCTCCTCCTCCTCCTCCTCCTCCTCCTCCTCCTCCTCCTCCTCCTCCCCCTCCTTCTCCTCCTCCTCCTCCTCCTCTTCCTCGTCTTCCTCCCCCATTCATTTTCCTTCTGCGTTCTCCCTGTCGCACCCCGAGGCCAGTTTTAGGGCGGGCCAGGCGTTTCGCCTGAGACTTCTCCTCACCATTTATGATTCTGAAGCTTAAAGATTGGCAACGGCTTCACAGATGGAGGGCGGGTCGTTTTCAAAATGCGGTTATTGCTGTAGCGCGGCGAACATCCGTTTTCTAATTGCAAAAGCTTCACGGGTTGTTGGCGATTGGTTTTTCAAAATGTGGCTCTCGCCTTAGCGCTGCGCACATTCAATTTAAACATTTGCAAGAATTTCACGGATTAAGGGCGGCTCATTTTTCCAAATGTGGTTCTCGCCTTAGCGCCGCGCACATTATGATAAAAAATTGCAAGAGTTGCACGGATGGAGGGCGAGTGGTGTTCAAGATGTGGTTCTCGCCTTAGCGCCGCGCACATTCGTTTTTTGTTGATTGTCCGAGCTGCACGGATTGAGGGCGGCTCCTTTTCAAAATGCGGTTCTCGCCTTAGCGCCGCGCACATTCGTTCACAAAAGTCTCAAGAATTTCAGGGGTTGCCATCATCAGCGTATCAGAAACGGCGTTTTGGAAGGAGGTTGGATCATGCGGGCGCAACAGTTATGTTGCTTCTCTGCGTTGAGATGCTAGGAATGTTGTTCTGGAGCGCTTCAGGATCCTCAACACGCAACAGTCAGTTTGTCCCGTGGCGTTGGAATCCCGAGAACAATGTTTTGGCATGCTTCAGGGTCTTCACACGGATGGTTTCCAACGAGGCAGTTCCATCGATGGAAATGAACTTGTGTAAGGGTATATGAATAGGGAGCTTGGAAGGAGGGGTTACTCCAACATCGTTGATGATTATTGGGTTTATTGTGGTCCTCCTCCTCCTCCTCCTCCTCGTCTTCCTCCTTCTCCAGCGCCTTGGAGAACGTTGTTGCTTAGGTGTTGACGAGAGGTGCGGGATCCTAGCCATTGGGTTGTCAGTCCCCACCGAGCGGGGTGCTGGAGACCTGGTGGTTTCTTTTTCTCTTGCCGCCCTAGCTTTTTGAGTTGAGATGTGCCTCATATATGGAATCCCTCCTCCTCCACCCCACTCCGCCTCCCCCTCCCACTTCCTCCCGTCCCACTTCCTCCCCTCCCCTCCCACTTCCCTCCCTCCCCTCCCCCTCCCCCTCCCACTTCCTCCCACTTCCTCCCCCTCCCACTTCCTCCCTCCTCTCCCCGTCCCCTTCCTCAGAGGTTCGCCTTTCTGGGCCTCTCCAGGTGCGGCGCATATTCCGACAGGACTTCCGAGGGGAAATCCGACCGCGGCAGGGGCAGAAGCGCCAAAGACCTTTTATCTTCGATTCTCGAAGGAGGAAGGCAGGAGGAGGAGGAGGAGGACGAGGAGGAGGAGGAAGGCAGGAGGATGAGGAAGGCAGGAGGAGGAGGAGAAGGAGGAGGAGGAGGAGGAGGAAGAGGAAGAGAAGGAGGAGGAGGAGGAGGAGAAGGAGGAGGAGGAGGAAGAGGGGGAGGGGGACGGGGAGGGGGGGAGGAGGAGTATAGAAAGAGCTCCTTCGTCATCCCTCTTCCTCCCTTCTACCACCTCCCACCTCGTCACTCCTTCTCGTTCTCCCCCGCCCCCCACCCCCTGATCCCCTATCCCCTCTCCCTCCGCCCCTACCCCCTATCCAGGTCCAGAAGCGCTACAGGGCCCTGGTCTGGGGACGCCTAGAGGCCGGCGTATGCAGAGGGCAGAAGAGGAGAAGACGACAGCAACGACGACGACGATGACCACCACCACCACCACCACCACCACGACGACGACGAAAACGACGACGACGACAACAATGACGACGACGACGACGACGACGACGACGACGACGACGACGACGACGACTACGACTACGACTACGACGACGACGACGACGACGGCGACGACGACGACGACGACGACGACGACGACAACGACGACGACGACGACGACGACGACGATGGCGACGACGACGACGACGATGACGACGACGACCACGACCACGACGACGACGACGACGACGACGACGACGACGACGACGACGACGACGACGATGACCACGGCGACGACGACGACGACGACGGCGACGACGACGACGACCACGACCACGACGACGACGACCACCACCACCACCACCACGACGATGACAACGACAACAATAACGACGACGACGACGACGACGACGACGACGACGACGAACTCGGAAGGCCTCCGTAGGCTTCCGAGGGCGCCGAAGATCTCCGAGGGGCTGCGACGCCCCACGACGGGGACGGTGGACGACGACGCCGCCCAAAAAGGCCAATGAGGGTCCGAGAAACGCTTGATCTTCGTCGTCGGCGACGGCGGCGGCGACGACGACTGCAGCGGCACTGGTGCCAGACGCCGCGGCGGCTGCGAAGACCCTGGCGACCACGGCGCCCACGGCGACAACGACGACGACGACGATAACCAGGACCACGACCAAGACAACGACCACGACGACGACGACCACGACGACGGCGACGACAACTAACGCGACAACGACGACGACGACGACGACGACGACGACGACGACGACGACGACGGCGGCGACGGCAGCGGCGGCGGCGGCGACGGCGACGGCGACGGAGGTCGGCGGCTGCGGCGGAGGTCGGCCACGAGCGGCGCGTCGACGAGCCCTTGCACGGGCTGCCGTCCTCCACGCTGCTGCGCGTGGCCGCGCCGGCGGCGGCCACGACCTCCG